AAGATCGCTCAAATATACTCTTTGTTTTGATAATTGTTTCCATTTTCTCTTATGCACATATGCTTTATTGCAGAGAGAAAATGCTTGATATTAAGCTGTTTTTCTACAAAAAACATGCAAACATTTCTAATTTGATAGCAAAATATTTTGTTATACACCCATTAGGTATTTTTTATTTCAGGTAGGAGAAAAACTGCCTGAGAAGCATTCATGGAATGACTGATTTAAATTCTATAAATCCCTGAATTTTTCATCTCCCTTTGAATGGAATGCCAAAGGGGATTAAAGACTAAAGACATATCACAAACAAATTTACATTATTAAAATTACTGTAATCAAGAGTCTTTTCTGGCCTTAATCAGGATTAGTGAAAAAAAACCAAACAAACCAACTTTTCTACTGTGCAATACTAATCAAAATTCTATCAAATGACAGGTAACAGAGTAAAAGCAGTTTTGAAAATTAAAAATATTGGTCGGCGTATTCTAGTTTTCTTCAAAAGTATTTTCACCTATTTGAGATCAGAGCAATGATTTCCCTGCTGATAATTCACATGGCAGGCAACAAGCATCGGTAAAAATAAATTTCAGTAATGCTGCAAAGTCCGACCTCCTATTTTCAGGAGTGCGTCCAGGAAACACACTTGTTTGAACATATGCTATGGAAGCAGGAGGGGAAAGCGCAATGTGGACTGCTTGGTTTTGTTCTCCTGAATTGTAAGCCAAACAATCCGAGCTGTGGAAAACTCGACTAGAAACCTGCCGCACGTCAGAACTCAGCCTTGCAGGACACGCACCGCGACGCTCTCGCTGCTGAGCTGGCAATAAGCAGGTTTGATCTGAAGAACCGTCAAAGCTTTTAAGCGAGGTCTTTATCCACCGTGCCCTACGCTTTACAGTTACGCTACAAGGCTAATACGGTAACGGGATAAAGCTTGTACAGATTTTTCTGGTCCTCTGGAGCCTCTTAAAGAAGGCAGCATTATGTTGGTTTCGGAAACCACCGCTGTGCTCTGGAGCATCAGGCCCCATCTTGCTGTCAGAAATGCCGCCAATTAGTAAAACAGCAGCAGGATTGGACCCTACGTTCATTTCACCCTTGTAAAATGTCAACTACTATTTTAAAATGGAAATTATAGAAATGTATAGGTAAAGAACAATCCCGAAAAGTGATCTGAGAACAATGACCAATCACTTTCTTAAGTCTCGGAAACAAGCTCGGCAACGCAGCAATATTCAGATATTGTGACAGTATGTCAGATAATCAGCTATATGGACTAAAGAACACAGAAAACTGCCTGATTCTCATAGCTTCTTTCCAGGAACTCCAACTGATTTAACTTTTTGCTGGTATCTGAAGTAGATAGCCACCTTCCAGGCCCTCCATCTTCAAACCTGTTGCTCCCCTGTATTTGGTTAAACAAGATTTTACCTTGCGAGCTCAAGACTGCTGACGTTAAATCTTGATTGATGCAGTGCAAATTGACAGCAGCTTCCAACTCCCTATTAGTAAGGTTACACCGGTTAGTAAAACATCAGTTTTAGTTAGTGACTAGAATTACACAGCTTAAAAAAGCAACAGACAGTGGAGCAGCATCTCCTCTTTGCATCTCTTCCTAATGACGCCTCATGCTGATCATTCTTGAAGTTTAAAGAAAAACTAAATCAGGTTAGAAAACAATATATTATCTTTAATTAAAAGTGGGCATTATGTTTTCTTCAAAGTATGAACATACCAAGATAACGAGTACATTAGAACACATGATCTGTATTTCAGTTCCACTGAGCATACACCATAAATCCTTCTTGGAAAAAAAGCAGGCGTCATAACAAGAACATTTGAGCAGAAAGAAGATCTTCAGCATTTTGAAGTCCTCCCTTCGTAGTCTCTGAGACACCAACTGGAAGCAGACACTTAAAACCTTACATGGTACACAAAAGTTTTTTTCCATATGCCAGAGGAGGGGAAAAACAAATGACAAGTTACGGGATCTCATCCCCAGGATAACCATGCACATTTGCAAGGTTAGCACCGATGCTTCACACACAAATGCAATAGTCAGATGCCAGTTTATCCCCTCCCAACAAAATCATCTTTCCAGCGGTATTAGGCATTCACTCAGCAGCGGTTTTAGCAGCAGCTCAGCACAAAGCGTAAATCACATAAAAATAGATGCCTTCCTGTCAAGGGGAAACGCAAAGGGCTCTGTATGGGTTTCAACTCTGCGTGAGAAGAGTTAAAATCCTGCAAGCCCGTGGTGGCTAGAAGCAGCTCGCAGGACTGAACTTTCAGATTAACTGAGAAGTTAAGTCAGCTTTGCTTTAGTTTAATATTAGTTTGTTTGTTGCAGGAAAAGTTATGATTGGACTTCTTCTTCCTTTTGAATTAAAAAACCTGTACTCAGGTTTATTAATGTAAATCATTTTAATAATGATTTACAAGTTTCTCTAGTATTGCTTTGATAAGTTCTACATTTCTGTGTTTAATACCTAGCCTTTTAACAGTACTTAAGATACTCAAGCTTGCTATTTTTTCTATTAAAGTTTTCTTTAATGCAGGTTTTGTCTTCTGCATTTGAAATTCCACGTTTAGCCTTCTGAGACCGTTTAATTCCAGGTGGGCTCTCAGAAGGTGGATTTTTAGGATTCTAGGTAGATATGGTAATATGAGCAAGCTTTTTACTCATGTAAATTATAGGAAAAGAATTAAACAATCACAGTACTAAAAACCATTGTTCCAAAAATAGCTTGTCGCTAAGACTATGAAGTATTTTAGGCTCTGAAATCAGCGAGCCACTTTTTTGGCCATAATTATTTGAGGAAGCAGCAATTATAAATTCCATTATTATTAGTGTAAGTCTTTAACCAAACTCATATTTAATATTAAGCTGTTAAATACTTTATTGTCCAACTATTTTAGTTTTGGTGAAAAATGAACAGTTAACTAATCTCCATTTAAATATTCCCAACTGCTCAATCTTCTGCAATTTTAACCAGAAGTAATACAGATTTACCTAAAAATCATGATTCTCCGTTAAACTGACCCTTTTTTCAAAATATTATCTAGCAACAGCTCAGTCTGCAAAATTTTAAATGACCTTTGCCGATCTGCAGTTTCCAGTCATTTTTGCTTCGGTAGTGGTTTTGGTCGGCTTTCGCTTCATCAGGTGCCTTTTAAGAGTATTTTCAAGATTTTCTTTTATGGAAAAAGGTACAACAGATAAACTGTTCTGTAAAACTATTCTGTAAAAAAGAAGAAATGAAGATATAAAAATGGAAGTGAGCAGGAACCAGTTTTAAACATATGTCTTTATGAATGAGGCTGAATCACACACTTCGTTTTCCAAACACAAAAAGCCTTTTGGAAGTGTATTAATTAAAATTAAGTGCCATAGACAAGCGGCTTTAGAGGGATGGCAGTCCTTTTCAAATTAGCATAACACTAGCGACAGGCATGGAAATTGGTTTAATAACCCTAAATAGTTACACCCTGCTCCTAACACAAATGGCCATGGACAGCTCTAACCCCTCAGGCTGCGACTGTACCAGTTTACGTGGTTGCTCTGACATTGGGTGGGTATTCCGATCTGAACAGAAATCACTGAGTGCACCTCAATTATTATTATAATATAATGACTAGTGAAGCATACAAGGCACCAAAGCGTTAAACATCATAAATCAGAAAACCAAAGTAAACCAACACAATCAGCATCAAAAACTTAGCCAGCAAAGGACTCACTCTGTAACTTTTACTAACACAGTCAATGCTTAGGAAGAGATTTAGTTTAGTCATGATATTAAGTGGCCCAAACCCCACACGTAGGTCTAGGGTCAAACTGTAGATGTAACAGAAAACCAAGCCAAGGGGATAAACCGAGTCTTTAAGCCATTTCCTTCCCTGACATGTTTTACATGGGTGTCCTCAGAGCTAAGCTGGATGCTACAATAACCCCTTTTAACCACCACTTTCAGGGCACAGCATCTCCAGCAAGTGTCAAAATACACAAGCTAAATCTCTACCTACTTAACTCTAAACGTCAGGCATAAACAACAGATTTTTGTGTGCTCACGATTCATGAGAAACTGGAGAAAAACCAAATCCCTGCTGATAAGGAGCTGAATGTCCACAAGCTTTTTCCAAGTATCCCGATCATTCAGCTAACTTCACAACACTGCTCCTCGGCAAAGGACTGCCACGTCCGTCTCCACTTTACCTTACTTCAGCGGGGGTTTTGCTTTGACTGCCAGCTGGTTTGAGAGACATGTAGGACAGAGAAAGTGGTTATTCATGTCTTTTATTTATTATAAATACATATAAATATGTTAAGTGACCTTTTGCTTTGTTTATCATGATGAGCAACAACTCTGGAAAATCATCTGGAAAACTTAACCAAGCTGAGAAACAGGCAAAAAGCAAGCATTAGCATACAATCACAGGTTCCTCTCAGTTCAAGAACAGGTTAATTTTTTTAAGAGCAAAAAAAAAGCATCTTAATTTGAAGCATCTACTGTTTTACCAAGAGCACCGAACTTCCCCCCTCCCATGAGCTGACCAAATGACATTTTCAGTTGGATTTGCGGGTGCAGTCCAACCCCAGCTGGCTACATAGGACACCCCCCCCCATGTTTGTGAAACATTGCATAGTTTTGCATCTGGATTTTGCTTCCCCCCCCCCCTTTTAAGTTATTTTTAACACAGGTTGATCATGTCAAAGAAACCTCACCGAGGTTTCCATTTCCAGATCTCTCTCTCTCTCCCCGTTTTTCTATAGTTTAGTTTAAAAACTGCTCAAAAACTTTGTAGATCAGAGCAAGCCGAAAAGCAACATTATGCTCACAGTCCACTAACAGGCTGGGAAGGAAATAACTACAGATGAAGTTGCATGTGGGGGGTAACTGAACAATGTTGAAAGTGGGCGCTTTGGGGTCCACGTAAACTGCCAAGTATTTCCAAATGGGGTGTGGGGAGGGGGGTATTTAAGAGAAGCAAACAAAAAGAAAACCCAGACTTAACTGATGGTAGGAAGCCAGGGCTGATGGTAGCAGAAAGAAAAGTGCACAGAAAAAAAAAAAGAAAAAAAAAGAAAAGAAAAAGCCCGAAGAAGCCAGAAGTCAAGGCTTGTCATTACAGTGTTTGCAGAGGGCAGAGGCGGCTCCTGTGAAGGCAGTGCATTTCTCGGGGCAGCCGGGCAAGGCCGTGCCGCCGAAGGGGTAGACGGCCGACTGTCCGAAGGGGTTGAGGGTGGCGGGCAGCGGGGTGCTCAGCGTCTGGCCCTGGTTCAGGTAAGCCACCAGCCGCCGCATCTCCTCCAGGGCCTGCGCCTGCATGAGGATGTAGTTCTTGGCCAGGAGCAGGGTGGCGATTTTGGAGAGTTTCCGCACCGAGGGGCTGTGGGCGTAGGGGATGACGGAGCGCAGCCCGTCCAGGGCGTCGTTCAGGTCGTGCATCCTCCGCCGCTCCCGCGCGTTGATGCTGAGGCGCAGCGAGCGCTGCTCCTTGGGCTTCTTGCCCAGGGCTCCCCCCTTCAGCTTGCCCTCCCGCTCGAAGGCCGCGCCGCCCTTCACCCCGGCCTCGAAGCCGTCCTCCTCGTCGCCGCTCTGCTCGCCGCTGCTCTCCGCCGACTTGCCCAGCGCCCCGGGGTGG